CCTGATGAGTAGACCGAAGATCAAATGATTAAAAAAGGTTTGTCTATGTTGTATTTTGTGTTTTCAAGATAACAGAATAAAATAATAATAAAGACAAACTCGTTGGTAAGTAATAAAATAATTTTTTTTTCTACATAAAGGTACAATTAGCAATTGATCTAATTCTAACTCTACTTATCTCCACTTAACTCCACTTATTTACATAAACGGACAATTCCATTCATGTATGTCCTGTATGACAGTCTACAAAACTCTGGAGTTGGGGTGGTGAATATAACATCAAACAGCTAAGTGACAAATTTTATATTTATATTAATCAGATATATATATATATATATATATATATATATATATTAAAATCTACTGATTGAGTTTACTGTTCATCTTCAACAGGATAATTCCTCAAACGTCTAAAGAAAGTCATGAATGGAAATGGAAGAAAATATTCAAATAAGAATTCCAAAGCACCTATGTATCTATCAGGAATGTTCAAATATGGTGCAATTCCATATAAACCTGCAATAACTGCAATTCCTGTAATTATTAATACACCACGCTCATGAAAAAATGTTTTGATCCACATCAGACGACCTGAAAATAAAACAAAATAGCAGCATTTTAGAAAGAAATTAAGGAGGGTTTATTTTTTAAGTAAATGAAAGTTTATACATTTTTTATGGTAATGGTCTTTATGGGCTTCCTGTTTTGGAACCTAAATGTAATGAATTTAAGCACAGTACTACATTGACAGAAGGTTTCATCATTTTACAATTGAAATTGTTAAATATAAAATCAAGTTTTATGTTAACACTTTCTTTTCTTGCACATTTCACTTATGGAACTTTCTTCCAGCTTCTTGCTTTCCAGTTAATTCTGATCTTCAAAAATATAAAAGCAATGTAAATTCTTAACTTCTATCTTCTTAATTCTTGTTCTTTTATTATTCTCAACCCTTAATGCTCTTTTTTTTTTCTATTTCTCATATTGAGTCTTAGTGATTTTATTGCATTGCTTAAAGTGAAATGTTTAAAAAAGAAAAAAAAATGAAAAATGCCCAAGTAATTGAAAATGCATTTTTTCAAACATTTTAAAATAATCTACGCTAAAAACTGTAAATATTTTTTAAATAGTTGAGCAAAATGCAACTTGTAATCATTTTATTATTAGTTTTGATCAATGTTATTGTTGTTTTTTGATAAAGTATTTTCATTCTAATTATAAAAGCAATTTTAATGTTTAAAAAAAAAAATCTAAATTTTGGATGATGTGATTTTAGGCAGTAATTTTTTTTTTGGAAGGTTCTTATAAAGACATGAAATGACAACAAACTTTTTAAAATATAAAAGTATGTATTATTAGTATGTATTGTTTGTAAGGAAGCATTTTGTCGATCAGGTTTCATTGACATATTTTATAAAGAGGGATTTTGTCAAGAGTCAAATGTATTGCTGGAAAATTTTTTCCTTCCAAAATATGTTACAAAACAATGTAGGTATATATATATATATATATATATATATATATATATATATAAGTACAGTGCATGCTTGTGTGTGTGCGTGGTGCAATGATTCAAAAGCACTAGAAAAGTTAAGTGCAGGGAACAATTTTCGTTGAGCTCAGATGATGCAGGTTTAAAACTATATATTAACACATTATACTATATATCACTGTTTCCATGGTTCAAGGGGAGTAACTCTTATTTTTCTTTTGTATTCAAAATTGCAGTGCACATTTTATTATAAACTAGCTTAGACGCTGCCCTATCAGGCAGCGTTTAAGCTAGCTCCTTTGAAGGACTCTTGGTTTGGCCATCATCACAATAGCTAGGAAGGAGTAGATGCGATAGGCATCAATAAACTACAGAAGAACTCAAAATTGATCACTGCATTTAAGTATTGAATTAATGTTTAAGCTTACTTTTTAAAAGTTCAACAATAATTCTTCTACCAATTAATTTAAAGATGATTTGATGTATGTACATCTTTATTTTCTGTACAAACAATTATTTTCATTACATGGGTGACAGAACAGGAGACAATTTATAAGATAAAATTAAAATAGTGTAAAGATGGGAAATTAGAATTAGTTATACATTCAACATTTGAAAAGTTAGAGAAACAAACCTATATTATGGAATCTAGATGAATAAATATGAAATTGGAGCTCAACTCTCCCACAAATTCTGAGATAAAAAAGCCCCAGCTCTACTTTATAGTAATTTGGTATTTACTCAACCACCCACAAAATCACATTGTGACACAAGGTCAGTTTGATGTGGTGAGCCTGGGTGCATACACCCAAACACAAAAATTACCTCACATCCCTTAAAGCTCATTATATGCATTATATATTATCTACTTCTAGTCACTATCACTCTTCAACTAATTAGCATATTTATTTTTAAAAATTTTATTTCATTAATTAACTGTCCTTCATTACTGTTCTTTTATTTGAGGATTGTTTTGATTTTCATATCAAAAATAGTTATGTTTAGGAATATTGTCTTATATAGTACAGAAAAGTGTTTGAAATTTTATTTAGCCTTCAACAAGTTGGCATCTATTTGTAAAATTTTCCTTCACTATAATAAGCCAATTTATGAATGAAATGTTCATTTAAAATTTTTACTTCAAAGATTTCAAGTAGTGAATAAATCCTACTTTGCAACACAATAGTGAGTGGGTGAAGCCTACTAGGATATATATATATATATATATATATATATATATATATATATATATATATATATTTTTTATCAGTACTGAAATCTGCTACTCAAAGTTTCATTTATCAACAAATATCAGGTGGTATTGATATTATGTTACATTTAGGCTCTATCGACTTTGGCATTGAACTTTCAGTTTATTTTATATTAAAAACTTTGAGTTTATTTCAAGTGTAACACTAGATGGGCAGAGGTGTTTCATCAATTTAAAACTGAAATTGTTAAATGCAACTATAAGTTCTATGCTAACAGTTTCTTTTCTCACACATTTTGGTTGTAGAACTCTCTTTTGGCTTCTTGCATTCCAGTGAAGTTTGATTGTCAAAAATTTAAATGTAATATAAAAAATTGTAAAATATGTTTACTTTTTCTTTATTATATATAAAATAAAGTTTAACAATGTTAAATTATGAGTAAATAAATAAGGATCATTCACTTGTGTTAAATATATAAACCAATTAGCAGATAAAATATTTAAATTCCATAATAAAAATATTTAAATTACATTTCATATGTTGTGGGTTGTTCTCTTATACATCAGCCTTGTCTGAATGTACTTCTTGTTTTTATATAGGCATGTATGTAGTTTTGTTTGGGATTAAAAACATGTCATCAGCCCCACAATAAAAATATATAAATTTCATTAACTGCAACAAATACAATAAAAGAACTTTTGTATACATTTCAGAAAGAAAACTATATATTTAAAAGAAGATATACATATACAGATATAAAAAGTTTTTGCTTATTTGGTGGGAGCCACATGGCTTGTGGGAATGCTGTACCTAGACATCTGCTTCATTTGACTGTCAAAGATTAAGTGAGAGAAAATTTGACTTTTGCAACCATCGGTGGCAAAATGCATTTTCTGGTGCATGATGGGAGTTTTCATATTTATTTAACTATTTTTTCACAATCCCACTTTTTTCTTCTTTATTGTTAATTATCATACTTATTTATGTTTTGAAGCAATTTTATTACTTAATTTTTCAGTTTTATTATTATTTTGGTTTTCTACTTCTACATAATCTAACAGTAAGGGTTAGAGGTTATTTAGTGATTTATTTGTTGCTATCAGTACAAATATATGCAATTCATGAAGATTAATAGGATAAATAAACAAATGATGAGATTACTAAAGAGATAAAATATATAGCTCAATATAAAACATGCAACCATACTATCTAGATAAGTAAATAAATAATCAATAATAAAATAATGTAAACAATAATTGAATAATAATCATCACTTTTCTTATTTTCTGTTAAATTCTTCATTTTCAAGGACTGATATAAAATGCACATGTGTTTAATTTGACAACAATTTCCTCAATATATATATATATGAATATCAGGACATAGCATTGAAATTACCTGATGATCTTCCAGAATTTTTACTCGCTTCTGTAATTTCATCATTGTCTAAAAATAGAAAGAAAATTGAAAATGAATTAGAGTTGTTTTAATAACTTTCTCTCTCTGTGTTTATACATCTATCTAACTATATATTAATCTGATCTGATAAATTATCTATTACAGTATGTTCTAATCTATCTATATATCTATATATCTATATATATATATACACACACACCTATCTATTCATTTGACTTGAACATAAATCATCTACCACAGACTTTCCAATCTATCTATTTGTTACTCTATCATTCCATCTGTTAATATTTCTATTCATCTATCTACAATTCACTTTCAAATAGATGAAATGGTTGGAATAATATGTGTAGCTATATATATATCTATATGTATATAATGTATGTGCTCATAATTAAACAGTGCTCAATGTATAATACCAGGGCTTAAATGTATACTATTAATAAATATACACTTCGTTCCACACCATTTAACACAACTGTGAGTTTCATGCACAAGGCAATCATCAGGATTAGATTGAAAATTTAAAAGTAAATATTTATAAGTGGAGCTATCCATTTATTTAAAATTAAATATACATTTCTAAAAACTATATAATATCTTAAAAAATAGATTAAATACATACATACATACATACATACATATAATTTGACTAAATGCAAAAATAAAATAGATTAGGAAAAAGTACACTTACATACATCCAATTACACACATATAAATATATATCACACAACAAATGTAGGCAAATATACAAATATAATGATGAGATTACTAAAGAGATAAAATATATAGCTCAATATAAAACATGCAACCATACTATCTAGATAAGTAAATAAATAATCAATAATAAAATAATGTAAACAATAATTGAATAATAATCATCACTTTTCTTATTTTCTGTTAAATTCTTCATTTTCAAGGACTGATATAAAATGCACATGTGTTTAATTTGACAACAATTTCCTCAATATATATATATATGAATATCAGGACAAAGCAGTGAAATTACCTGATGATCTTCCAGAATTTTTACTCGCTTCTGTAATTTCATCATTGTCTAAAAATAGAAAGAAAATTGAAAATGAATTAGAGTTGTTTTAATAACTTTTTCTCTCTTTGTGTTTATATATCTATCTAACTATATAGTAATCTGATCTGACAAATTATCTATCACAGTATGTTCTAATCTATCTACTAATATATATATACATATTATATATATATATATATATATATATATATATATATACATACAAATATAGATAACTATACTCGTTTTGAAAAACCCTCGAATTTCTGATTTGCCAATAATCAAATCAATCTCGAGGGAAAAAAGGTTTTAAAAAAAGAAAGAGCTACAAACATGTCTGTCGAAAAAAATCGTACAGATGCAGGTTTGAAGCCTAAAGAAAAAACCCCAATACGAGTAAACAACTAACAAAAGAGCTCAATACAACCGTATAGCAGACCTAGATATACCTAGTGAGCCAAACAAACCTACCTAGGTTTCACCTAAACAGATCGTCAGGGAAATTCCCTGACGATCAGTTTGTTTGGCTCACTCGGTGTATCTATCTATATATGTTTGTGTGTGTGTATCATTTATCTGGTAATAATAGAACTGTGCTCAATGTTTAATAACAGAGCTTAAATGCATACTACTAATAAATACACATCTTGTTCCACAATATTTAATACAACACTGTGTTTCATGCATGAGGCAATCATCAGGTGTAGATTGAAAATTTAAATATAAATATTTATAAGTGGAATAATCCATTCATATCTGGGGGGAAAATTATATATATATTTTTAAAAAAGTATATTTAAAAAAAAAAAAATATATATATATATATATTAATATATATATAAAAGGATGGAATCAGTATCATCCTGAATAGATTATATATATATATATATATATATATATATAAAGGATGAAATCAGCATAATCCTAAATTGCAGAAAATCAATAATAATCCACAGCAACGAACACTGAATAAAGAACTCGGATGAAAAATTTGATGTATCTATGGGATCACTGGATTCTGCTGAGCCATCTGACTTAGTTGGTACTATTTATTTTGTACCATCTTACTGCACATAATGAAATTAGCTTAAATTATATAGGGATTTATAGGGCCGATTGCCTGATGGTAGTAAATAATTCTACTGGAAATAAGGTAAACAAATTGAGGAAATTGATTCATAGAGTGTTTAAATATTTACACCTCAAAGTTAAAATTAATTCTAACATTAAACAAGTGGATTTCTTAAATGTAACCTTAGCCCTTAATAATTTTGAGCCTTTCTTGAAAAATAACACTAACCCCATTTATATAAATCCTAATTCCAATCACCCAGCACCAGTTATTAAACATATCCCATCATCCATTGAACATTGTATGAACCAGCAATTTTCTACCAAAGAAATATTTGATAAACACAAAATTTTTTATAACAAAATCTTTACTGACAGCAGCTACAGATCTTCCAAAATTAAATATATAGAAAATTATTGTTACTCTAGAAAAAACAATAGAGGAATGAAAATAGTTTGGTATACATCTCCCTTAAACAAATTAGTCCATACCAAATTGGGACACAATTTTTTAAATCTAATTAACAATTACTTTTCTATGAATAGTAAATTAAGTCAAATCTTCAATTGCAATACATTAAAAATTAGCTGTTCTAGAAATTTAGATAAAATTTATTAAATCACACAACAATAGAATACTGAAACTTTATAACGAGAATAAACGCAACCCAAACACCAATTCTAATATACCCCAGTTAACCAAACTATATAATTGTAGAATCCCCGATCAATGTCCATTATCAAACAGGTACCTAACGAAATCCATTGTATATATGTGCTCTATTTCATCAAATGAGAACCCCAAGGATATTAAATTGTATGTGGGATCCACTAGAAGACCTTCTAAGGATCAATATTACAATCACATATACTCTTTTACTAATATAAGCAAACACACTATGACATCACTTTCTAAATACTTTTGGAAACTGAAGGAGGAAAACAAAACACCTAAGGTTAATTGGAAAATCCTAAAACAAGCCAGAACTTTTAAATCTCTGAACAAATCTTATTTTTTATGTTTGCAGGAAAAAATATGTGTTATTAAACTTTTGAACAACAGCCAATTATTAAATCAAAGATTTGAAACCATTGTTTATTTTAGGTATAACAAACATTACAATCTTACTAAACTTTCAAATCTATAACCCTAAATGTTTAAAATTATAACTCACCACCTTTGATATACTTTCTACACTCTTATATAGCTTTCTACTAATCTATCTTAGATTATGATTCTTAAAATGTTTTTTGCACATATATAATACTAGTAAATAAATAGATTTACATCCATACTTATTCTACAAGTTATACAGTCCAATAATAGGTCAAAATTTGCTTATAAAAGTTATATTAATATCCCATTTTTTTATATACCTTTTTTACTTATATCTTAAATTCTAAACTAAAACTTATTGTAAAAAAATACTAAAAAAAACAAATAACTTATGTATTCAACATACCAGGAAAAATCTCCACCTCTTAATTTATTAACTTACAAAATACATTCATTGATTACAAAATGAGTAGCAATAATTCCAGCCTAAATATACGCAATTCAGCTCTGGCTTTGTTTTAAAGTTTCAATTTAATCTATAATCTACTATAACCATCATTTATACTTATCCCTCTTTCCTCCTTCATTGTCTTACTCTCTCCTATTCCCACCTTTCCTCCCCCACCCTTCACTCTTGGGAGGCTTGAAAATGTTGTACCTGAACCCTTGACTGTTGCTGTCGATTTAAATTTTTTGGGTGGAGCCATCACCTTGACACCACAACAATCCTTCACCAAACTGCTATCAACAAGCACTATTGTTTCACTCAGTCACTCTTTTTGCTTTTCCTATCTTTTCTTTATCCTTATATTTCCCCTTTAAAATTTTTTCAAATAAATAGAAAAAAGGAAGTGACATTCCAAGTGCAGCCTGTTTACAAACAGAATTGTTCATAATCATTATATCTCTCTCCAGTTGAGATGCAACAAAATGCACTGAAACGAAGTTGCATCTTTGTAGTGAGTAAATTTTTTTGTCTATATGAAAAAATTATTTTATATATATATATATATATAGAGAGAGAGAGAGAGAGAATTTGATTAAATGCAAAAATAGATTAGGAAAAAATACACTTACATACATCCAATTACGCACATATAAATATATATCACACAACAAATGTAGGCAAATATACAAATATATGGTTTTTTAAAAGGTTGCATGTTTGCTTATGGTATGTCCATTTTCTTTTTCTTGGTTCAGAAGTTAGGGTAAGTAAGTTGATAAGATAATGAGTGTCACAAAGTACTGCCTGTGAACACCAATCAGGCTTCAACAAGTTTGGATGTTTTGGGGTAGTAAGCAGCATCTCTGATTGCCATCATTTTTTGAGTGAAAGTAAACTTTGACATGATGTGATCTAAAAGTTTCAATAGAAAGTATGATCAGGATGTTAGTCTAAGAATAAAAAAAAATCACTTTGGTTAACATTAGTTACTTCCCTTAACAACAATTTTTTATAATTTTCTCTATTGGTGGGGGGGACATCACTTCTTAGAACTATTAGTTGTATATATATATATATATATATATATATATAAATTAAAATTTAAGGCAACCTGCTTGAAAAACTAAAGAAAATAAATAAGACAAAACTCATGGCTAGTTAGATGCCAAATCCCTTTATCAAATGCAAGGATTTTCCAAAAAACAAAACAATAAAGAATAAACTTCTCCCTAACAATAGATAAAATTAACTGTCTTCACTCTTTGTCAATGTTTATTATTTTAAAAAGCAATGATTAGAATTAGAATAAAACCTAAACATATGACAAAAGTGAATTTATGCATATTTTTTCTTGAAAATTAGCAACAAAAATATTAAATCCTACTTATTTATTTTTCAGTGACATGTTTCATTTCTTAGGGCTTCATCAGACTAGGTTTGTTTATGCTGATACAATAACACATTGCACATGAATGAAAGATCCTGCAAATATGAAATTTTGAAAATATTTTTGAAAAAAATTTTTTTGTTCTTTAATAATGTGTTTTTGATTTTGTTTTTTAATAATGTGTTCATGTGCATATGTAATAGCATCAACACAAACAAACATTGTCTAATGAAGTCATTTGAGACAAAATGCATCACATGAAAACTTTAGATTTTGTCATACATCTTTCCTCAAAAACTATTCTTAATATATAAAAATTTATATATCATTAATCCATATATGTGTGTGTGCATGTGTTTAATCAGGAATTCCTCTTTTATACATGTTTCATTAAAGATGACAAACAAGGTACTATGATTAAACTTTTTACATGATTTTTCTTATGTTCAAACAAGCGTTTTCTTTTCTGGACACAGAGAGTGTAGGAACTAAACAAATCTTCTGTAATTCTGAATGCTTTTGGCTATACTTTTTGTCATTATCAGGGATGATGTTATTTTTACTTTTTAACTAGATGTATGGGTTGTGTGTATGTACCTAGAGTTATGGGGATGTTTGATTTTCCGAAAACAATCAGCAAATTGTGGCAATGTTTTTAGTAAATATTAGTGAGTGTTGGCTTTTTCATTTTTATTATTAAGACTTCCATTATTTTTTAATCGTTTTTTACATGTGGATGAGCTTATTATGCTTTTATTTTCTACTAGCATGTTTCGGATGGAGTCTGGTAGGTTTGTGTGGGTGTTTAAATGAGTTCTAATGGAGCAGTGGTCAGATAAGTACAACAAAAGTCATCTGGATAGGCATGCAGTGGTGTGACCAATGTAATTATTTATGAGTTCAGTTTAATCAGGATCAGAGTTCCTTAAGGGACATTTGAGTTCATAAATAATGTTTGTTTTTTGTAGTTTTGATTTTGCAGCTATGTTCTTATTTTGAGGATAAGGTTAGCTGTTTTTAATTTTTTGTAATACATAATTAATTTTTTTGTTTAGGCCTACTAAGGTAGTGTATTTCTTTATGATATTTCTAAGTGAAGATTCATCTTGTTTATAGTTGACATGCACTTAGCTTTTGTAGAAGATATTTATGTAATTGTTTTTGGTTGTATGCTGAGTATCATTATTTACTTTGGAGAGAAATAGTCTAATCTCATGATCAATGAGGTGGTTAGGAAAACATTGTTAACTAGTATCTATTTTACATTGTTGAGTTCTTTAAGAAAAAGTAGACGAGAAGATGAATTCTCATGTGCTCCCTTTAGGAATTTTTTTATCACTGCTGTTTTGTATCTGAGTAGGCATTCACTCTTAAAATTAACATGGCAAGAGTTTCTGCTTGTGGGTTTTTTATACAATGAGGTGGTGAAAGTGTTGTTACTGTATTCTACTAGAATGTTTAAGAATGGGAGTTTGTTTTTTTGACTTAGTTTATAAGTAAAGTTATGGACAGTTTTTTTCAAATGTGTTTTCAAATTGGAGAGTATCTACATTTTGTGTTTTCTGCTAAAATAAAAATATCATCTACATAGCAGACATATATTTTAGGTTTACTGACCTGTTTAAATATTATATTTTCTGTATGAGTCATGTCGTAATTGGAGAAGCACAGACCAAGCAGTTTTCCCATACTAACACCATTAGTTTGGGTGTAGATGTTACCATTATGGTTGTAGCAGGGGACTTTGGTTGTGCATACAGGATATAATTTTTGAGTATGTTTGCTTTGATGAATTGAAATGGGATAGAATTATTTGTGTACACAGAGTTAAGGATAATGTTAATGGTTTGACTGATGGGGACGTCTGTGAATAAATTTTCAACATCGAGTAGTGCTAAGATAACTTGGGTTGGTTTTGTACTTTTTAGAAATTGAACGAATTTGTGGATGGATGTGATGTTGTAATTGGTGAGTAAGTATGGGGTAATGATGTCATTAAGAAATTTTGATACCTCATGCGTAAGGGTTGGGATCTGGGTAATGATTGGTAATAGCGGGTATCTGGGTTTGTGTATTGTTATATTTCTGTATAAGTATTCAGGTTAGTAGTCGCCAATGATTTTTTTGATTTTCAGGGAACCAATGTCGGCATTATTTGATGTTATGAGTTTGTTGACGGTTCTTTTTAGGGTCTTCATGGGGTTTCTGTGTAATTTGATGAATTTAGTTTGGTCATCAATGTTTTGTCCTTTATACGTTAGTCTATTATTTATATTATCTTTCGTTAGTTGCTTTATATTTATTTTTATTTATTTCTTTTTCATTTTTTATTCTTTATTTTAACTAATACCTATTTCTCTTTTTTCCCTTTTTTTTTTTTTTTCTATTATATTACCTTTATTTATTTTTATGGCTTACTCCTCCTTTTTTTCTATTTTTCTCTTTCCGGCGATATTATTGTAAAGTTGCCTCCCTTAGACTTGCCTGTTTATATCCCTAGTTTATTTTTGGACATCTACCTATCAACTCTATATGTTGAATTTATACCCCAATAGTATATTATATTTATAATATTATTGAACTTTGAATCCACATACAATGTTGCATTGCTCCCATAAGACCCAAAATATTTTTTTTAAAAATCAACCGTATTAAGCAGTTCATAATTCTCAGTACCTGATGAATGGGAATGACATGAAAGTCATACTACAAACGTAGGTATATGTGCTATTATTAATATATACTTTATAGCACTGTTTAACTACACTGAGCACTGTTTTGTCTACAAGTAAATTAAATAAATATTTATTTGCTCATCTGTATGTGTACATAATCACACACATAAATGGTTACTCATATATATTTATTTAGCTTATTTCTACATTTACACACACACATATATATATATATATATATATATATATATATATATAATTATTTATTTAAAAATATGATTCCAACTCGCAAATTTTAAATAAATAATTATATTTATGCTCTACTTTTGTATCGAGCACTATTTTTTTAAAATAATAACAAAATACTAAGGAACTTTGGATTATTTACCAACCAGTTCTTTCCTATTTTCTATATATTTTCACATATATATATATATATATATATATATATATATATATATATACCAAGTATATGATTGGTGTATATGGAATGAATTCCAATAACCAACAATTACTATTCTTAAAAGAGTGCACAATACAGATATAATTATTTATTTAAAAAAAATTTATAACATAAATATGTTATAAAATCACTACAAAAATAGCCATTTTGTTTCAACACCCTCGGTGTCTTATCAAGTGATGATTTTGAATGTAGAATAACATCATCACTTGATAAGACACCGAGGGTGTTGAAACAAAATGGCTATTTTGGTAGTGATTTTATAACATATTTATGTTATAATTTTTTTTAAATAAATAATTATAGATAGATAGATAGATAGATAGATATGTTCAAAAGTATTATCCAATCAACTTCAACTTACAATGAGACACTGCTTGTCAGAGTAAGATAAATATATTGAATTTATCAACTGATATATCTATAGACATCATACAAGAAAACTTTAATTATTGACACCAAACATATTTCAAACGTATTCTCATAAAAAATCATTATAATGTGACAAAATTTATAATTAAATTATTTGATTCTTATACTTTTATATTCTGAACATTATTAAATGCTATTATTTTTTACTTTAATTGTGTTAACCTCCATTAATTTACTGGGCTGTGTGTTTTGTTAGGTGTCAAAAATCTGTGATACAATAAACGGAGTTGAAAAATAAATTGTTTTTTCTAAAATTAAATGAACTAAAAATAAATGAAAAAAATATTATTTATATAATAATATATGCCAGAGAAAATTATAATCATATATATTTGAAATTCTGGCCTTATTTTTGAAAATTGCAAAACAATATGAAAACAGCACAAAAAGTAAAGATGTGAAATTACCTAGTGACTTTACTTGACTTGGTTTCACATCTTCAATCCCGGTTTCATCTAGAAATAAAATGAAAATTCAAAATTAATTAAAGAGAAACTTTTTAATGAAGGGGCTTTCTTAGATTTTTTTTTAATTTAACCATTTATTGACAGGATCATTGGTATAAAAGGATTTAACATCTAAACTAGCCATAAGTTTAGGTGTCATATTTGTCCACCTTAGCTTTTTGACCAGTTTAAAATATTTAATATGAAGGGCTAATTGTTCCAAGAAGTGCTAAAGATTTTGCTCTGTCTTTTACTTGTAATAGCATAGTGTGACCAAATTCACATATAATGGGTTGCACTATAATGCTCAATTTGTACATTTTGGGTAGACCATAAAGCCTCAGTGTTTTAGAGTCTTATTCAAGATTTCATTCATGGTTTAATCACTGCTACTTAAAGAATAGCTAACAAAACAACGCAATCAAAAATAGACATAAAAGTATTAGAAAATTTAGCCCCAAATAAGGACATTCGCATCACTGCCTCTGACAAAGGAGGTGAGATTTTTATCATGGATAATCTATAATAAAAAAATCATATTTGTTGTTATTAAGTTTAGGGTTGCTGTTTGAATTTGAGAAGGTGTCATGTGTTTACAAGCAAATTCTAAAATTCTATCATTTGAGAAAAAGAGACAAATGAGTGGGGGAAAAAAAAAAACAAGATAAAAAATTTTGTTCTATTGGGAATTTTTTGTGTAGACAAAATTTCAAGGATCATTCCCAAAAGAAACTGCAAATTCTTTCTATAGAGTTTCTATAAAAAATAAAAAAAAAAGGAGAAAAGTTGAACTTACATTGTTGGTGAGTTAAAAAGTGAGTGATGATGTTCTATCTCAACCTCATCATGAAGTGAAAAAGGAAAGCGCCACACATGCCTCTAGATATTTTTATTAATGAAAAAGCTGAATAGGGGTTGCTGCTGAAGAGTTTTTTAAACACATGCATTTCTAATGAAAACATTTAACGAATGCTACATGTCTATAGGAGAATCAATGAACATGAAATAATTTCCAAAATACAAAAACTTAACAAAGCAATTAAAAAGTTGATAAGACAATTTATGGTTGAAATTAAGCAAATTGTCATTGGAGCTGCTTCAACTTGAATGCATAAGTGTGCTTTCTTCTACATAGCTGCTCATTTCCAAACATTCCCGTCTGTTCAGGCTAATTTGTGTTTGACAAACACAGATGCAAATATTTAGAAAGTGTGTGGATAGGGCTCACGTTTAAACACTTAACCCTGCATGATGTGTTTTGTTATCTACAAATTTTTAAAGTACTTATAATTTCTAGTTGGCAACTTTTACTCCTTCTCACTACTCACCTGGCTAAGTGAGGATGTGTAGCATGCAGTGTAGTTGTAGCTCAGTTGTTATGAGAGTCAGAAAACTGAGGTGATTAACACAAGGGTTAAAGCACAACACATATTATTCCTAAGACAATGGGTCTCAAAATAAACCATTTCTTCTAAAATTAAATAATTCTGTAATTTATAAAAAGGAAAACTCCAGTATGAATTAATTCTATTTTTAATCAATTCACCCCAAGTAAGGCGATAATGCTACTAAGATATAAGGGGCAACTGGGAGTGAAAGAAGATGAGAAAACTTTAGAAGGAACTAGTAACCAAATCCTAAACAAAAAACAGGAGATAATTCTCTAATCCTGTTCAAAAGATAGGGTGGAGGAGGGGGAGTGTGAACTGGATGATAGGCAAACCTAACTACTCTTACTGAGTAAAAGAAATAAATAGAAAATTAAATTTTCAGAGCTGAGGTGGAGACATTAGAAATATTGAATCGAAGTCAACTTTAGAAGGAACTGGAAACCCAATCCTAAACAAAAACCAAACAATAAATCTCGACTCCTGTTCAAAAGACCAGGAAGAAGTGTAAACTAGACGATAGGCCAATCTATCCACTCCTATTGAGAAAAAAAATTAAATTTTCTTTTTTTTTTAATTTTTAACCCAATCCTAAACACGAACCAAACAATAATTTTCGACTCCTGTTCAAAAGACCAGGAAGAAGTGTGAACTAGACGATTGGCCAATCTATCCACTCCTATTGAGAAAAAAAAAATTAAATTTTCTTTTTTTTTTTTTAATTTAAATATAAAATAAATAAAACCAAACAATTTAAACATTTTTTATTATCAGATTCAAAATTATAAATTAAAATGTCACAAACACAGTTCTTGATAATCTATCCAAATGACCTATTTTTCAAAAAAAATCCTCTTCTTTTTTTCATGTTTTAACTGAAAATGGAAAGAAAACCAAAAAAATTTTCGATTTAATTAAAGATAAAATTTTGAATAAATTTATATACAACTCTCCCTCTATAAAAAATTTAAAAAAAATAAAATTTATTTTTTTTTAAATTTTTTACCAAATCCTAAACAAGTCATTTCATCTTAAAACCTCGATTTTATTTAAAAGATATTTCTAATCATCAGATGTAAGAATTATAGAATAAAAATGTCATCCAACTCCAAATAATTAAAAATTGAAAATTTTCTTTTTTTAATGTTTTAACCCAATTGAAGACAAACCAAACAATAATTTTCTAAGAAACCTGTTCAAAAATAATAAAAAATTAATTAGTTTTAACTTTTGGCCATCTATATTAAATTCAGATAAGAAAAAAATTTATAAATTTTCTTTTTTTTCAATTTAAATATTAAAATTTATAAAATTTATTTTTCTATCCTTTTCTGATTAAATTTTTTTTTTTTTAAATTTTTAAAAAATCCTAAACACGAACCAAAATGTCAACCTCAATACAGTTCTTGACCAGGAAAAGTGTGAAATAGACGATAGGCCAATTTTCCACAATTTGAGAAAAAAATTAAATTTTCTTTTTTTTTAATTTTTTAACCAACTGAAAATGGAAACCAAACAAAATTTTCGAAAAAAATTTAATTTAATTAAAAGACCAGGAAAAGTTTGAACTAGACGATTTATAATCTATCCACTCCTATTGATAAAAAATAAAATTTTTTTTTTAATTTTAAACCATCCTAAACACAAACAAACAATAATAAGTCATTTGTTCTTAAGACCAAAGAAGTGTTTACTAGATGATTTCTATCCATCCTATTGAGAAAAAAAATAGAATAAAATGTCATTTTTTTTTTTTTAAATTTAAATCTTGAAAAAAAATTTATTTTTATTTATGAGACATTTTTTATTATCAGATGCAAAAATTATAAATTAAAATGTCACACAATTAGTTTTGATAAGTAAATGTGAAATGACCATAGATTTTTCAACAATTTGATCCTTTCTTCCATTTCATGTTCAACTTTGGAAAGAAAATTAAAAAAATTTAATTTAATTAAAGATAAAATTTTGAATAAATTTATATACAAATCATATAAAAAAATTTAAAATAAATAAAATTATGTAATTTTCTTAGAGACAAGTCCATCTAAGTCATTTCATCTTAAATTTTTTTTTTTTTATATTTTAATCATCAGATCCTAAATTATAGAATAAAATGTCATACAACCTCGAATAATTAGTTCTTGAAAATGTTTGAAATAAAATTAATGTTCTATGAAATTGAAGACAGTCAATTAAAAGCTCTTTTTATTTTCTAAGAAATATAGATAAAAAAAAAAAAAATTTTCTTTTTTTTTTTTAATTATCGATATTAAATTCAGAAACCAAGGAAAATTTTCGAATTCTGTTAAATATAAATCATATAAAAAGAATTAAAAATTTATATACTTTTCTGGTTATCCATCTATCCTTTTCTGATTAAATTTTCTTTTTTTTTTTTAATTTTTAACCCAATCCTAAACACGAACCAAACAATAAACCTCGACTCCTGTTCAAAAGACCAGGAAGAAGTGTGAAGTAGACGATAGGCCAATCTATCCACTCCTATTGAGAAAAAAAATTAAATTTTCTTTTTTTTTTAAATTTTTTAACCCAATCCTAAACACAAACCAAACAATAATTTTCGACTCCTGTTCAAAAGACCAGGAAGAAGTGTGAACTAGACGATTGGCCAATCTATCCACTCCTATTGAGAAAAAAAATTAAATTTTTTTTTTTAATTTTTTAACCCAATCCTAAACACAAACCAAACAATAATTTTCGACTCCTGTTCAAAAGACCAGGAAGAAGTGTGAACTAGACGATTGGCCAATCTATCCACTCCTATTGAGAAAAAAAATTAAAATTTTCTTTTTTTTTTTTAAATTTAAATATAAAATAAATAAAATTTATTTTTATTTATGAGACATTTTTTTATTATCAGATGCAAAAATTATAAATTAAAATGTCACACAATACAGTTCTTGATAAGTAAATGTGAAATGACCTGGTGATTTTTCAACAATTTGATCCTCTTCTTCCATTTCATGTTCAACTGAAAATGGAAAGAAAATTTAAAAAATTTAATTTAATTAAAGATAAAAATTTGAATAAGTTTATATACAATTCTCCCTCTCTATAAAAATTTAAAATAAATAAAATGTATGTAATCACAAATTAGAGACATGTCATAATAAGTCATTTCATCTTAAACAAATTTTATTTATGAGATATTTCTAATCATCAGATGCAAGAATTATAGAATAAAATGTCATACAACACAAATAATTAGTTCTTGAAAAATATTTGAAATAAAAATTAATGTTTTATGAAATTGAAAACAGTCAATTAAAGCTGCTTTTTATTTTCTAAGAAACATAGCATAAAATAATAAAAAAATTAATTAGTTTTAACTTTTTAATTATCGATATTAAATTCAGATAAGAAGGAACAGTATAAATGTTAAATATAAATCATATAAAAAGAATTAAAAATTAAATTCATCTTGATGTCACACTGACTTCTAAATGAGAAGTACTACATCTATAAGATAAAAAATAAACTATATATATATATATATATATATATATATATATATATATATATATATATACACACACACACACACACATACAACAATACTGGAATTTTAAACATAACATTAACAATCTATTAAAATGTGTAATGATCTGGTGAAGTTTCATAGGATTGATTCCTTTCTTCCATTTCATGTTCAGTTGAAAATAGAAAGAAAATTTAATAAATTTAATTAAAGATAAAAATATTAATAAATTCATATGCATCACTCCCTCTCTTTCCATTTGCCTACCTATGTATCTCTTTCTTTATGATTATCTATTTTTTTCTGTTTATCTATCTATTCCTTTCTGTTTATCCATCTATCTTTTTCTAGTTATATATCTATATACTTTTCTGTTTATCCATTTATTCTTTTCTGTTTATCTATCTATATAGTTTTCTGTTTATCCATCTATCCTTTTCTGGTTATCCACCTATCCTTTTCTGATTATCTATCTCTTCTTTTCTGATTATCTATCTATATACTTTTCTGGTTATCCATCTATCCTTTTCTGATTATCTATCTCTTCCTTTCTGTTTATCCATCTATCCTTTTGATTATCTGTTTATCCATATCTTTCTGATTATCTATCTTCCTTTTATCCATGTTTTATTATCTATCTCTTCTTTCTGTTTATCCATCTATCCTTTTCTGATTCCATCTATCCTTTTCTGGTTATCCCTTTTTTCTGGTTATCCATCTATCCTTTTCTGATTATCTATCTCTTCCCATTTCTGTTTTATCCATCTATCCTTTTCTGATTATCCATCTATCCATCTTCTTTCTGATTATCCATCTATCTCTTCTTTTCTGTTTATCCATCTATCCTTTTCTGATTATCTATCCATCTTTTCTGTTTATCCATCTATTTTTCTGGTTATCTATCTATATACTTTTCTGTTTATCCATCCATCTATCCTTTCTGGTTATCTATCTATATACTCTCCATCCCTTTCTGTTTATCCATCTATCCTTTTCTGTTTATCCATCTATCCTTTTCTGATTATCTATCTCTCCTGATTATCTATCTTCCCTTTTTATCCATCTATCCTTTTCTGATTATCTATCTCTTCTTTTTCTGATTATCCATCTATCCTTTTCTGATTATCCATCTATCTTTTCTGATTATCTATCCCTTTCTGTTTATCCATCTATCCTTTTCTGATTATCTATCCATCTATCCATCTATCCTTTTCTGATTATCTATCTCCCCCTTTCTGTTTATCCATCTATCCTTTTCTGGTTATCCATCTATCCTTTTCTGATTATCTATCTCTTTTTCTGTTTATCTATTTATCCATCTATCCTTTTCTGGTTATCTATCTATATACTTTTCTGTTTATCCATCTATCCTTTTCTGGTTATCCATATCTATTATCTATCTTTTCTGTTTATCCATCTATCCTTTTCTGGTTATCCATCTATCCTTTTCTGATTATCTATCTCTCCCTTTCTGTTTATCCATCTATCCTTTTCTGGTTATCCATCTATCCTTTTCTGATTATCTATCTCTCCCTTTCTGTTTATCCATCTATCCTTTTCTGATTATCTATCTATCTCTTTCCTTTTATCCATTATCCATTATCTATCCTTTTCTGTTTATCCATCTATCCTTTTCTGATTATCTATCTCTTCCTTTCTGGTTATCCATCTATCCTTTTCTGATTATCTATCTCTCCCTTTCTGTTTATCCATCTATCCTTTTCTGATTATCTATCTCTTCCTTTCTGTTTATCCATCTATCCTTTTCTGGTTATCCATCTATCCTTTTCTGATTATCTATCTCTTCCTTTCTGTTTATCCATCTATCCTTTTCTGTTTATCCATCTATCCTTTTTATCTATCTCTTCCTTTCTGTTTATCCATTTCCTTTTCTGTTTATCCATCTATCCTTTTCTGATTATCTATCTATATACTTTTCCGGTTATCCATCTATCCTTTTCTGATTATCTATCTCTTCTTTTCTGTTTATCCATCTATCCTTTTCTGGTTATCCATCTATCCTTTTCTGATTATCTATCTCTTCTTTTCTGTTTATCCATCTATCCTTTTCTGGTTATCTATCTATATACTTTTCTGTTTATCCATCTATCCTTTTCTGATTATCTATCTATATACTTTTCCGGTTATCCATCTATCCTTTTCTGATTATCTATCTCTTCTTTTCTGTTTATCCATCTATCCTTTTCTGATTATCTATCTATATACTTTTCTGTTTATCCATCTATCCTTTTCTAATTATCTATCTCTCCCTTTCTGTTTATCCATCTATCCTTTTCTGATTATCTATCTCTCCCTTTCTGTTTATCCATCTATCCTTTTCTGATTATCTATCTCTCCCTTTCTGTTTATCCATCTATCCTTTTCTGGTTATCCATCTATCCTTTTCTGGTTATCTATATACTTTTCTGGTTATCCATCTATCCTTTTCTGATTATCTATCTCTTCCTTTCCGTTTATCCATCTATCATTTTCTGAGTATCTATCTATATACTTTTCTGGTTATCCATCTATCCTTTTCTGGCTATCTATCTATATACTTTTCTGGTTATCCATCTATCCTTTTCTGATTATCTATGTCTTCCTTTCTGTTTATCCATCTACTCTTTTCTGGTTATCTATCTATATACTTTTCTGGTTATCCATCTATCCTTTTCTGGTTATCTATGTCTTCCTTTCTGTTTATCCATCTATCCTTTTCTGGTTATCTATCTATATACTTTTCTGGTTATCCATCTATCCTTTTCTGGTTATCTATCTATATACTTTTCTGGTTATCCATCTATCTTTTTCTGATTATGTATCTCTTCCTTTCCGTTATCCCATCTATATTCTTTTTTGTTTATCTATCTATATTCTTTTCTGGTTATCCATCTATCCTTTTCTGATTATCTCTCTCTTCCTTTCTGGTTATCCATCTATATCCTTTTCTGGTTATCTATCTATATACTTTTCTGGTTATCCATCTATCCTTTTCTGGTTATCTATCTATATTCTTTTCTGGTTATCCATCTATCTTTTTCTGATTATCTATCTCTTCCTTTCTGTTTATCCATCTATCCTTTTCTCGGTATCCATCTATATCCTATTCTGTTTATCTATATATCCTTTTCTGGTTATATATATATCACGTTCTTTCTGTTTATCTTTTCCTTTCCCTCTTTTAAGGTTTTCTTTATCTTCACTACAGTACTAAATACAATTTTTATTGTAATTTAATACAATAGTCATTATTGAATAATGTATCTTATGGACTATCTGTGAACAATTTGAACACATTCTACATTATGGATAAAAAAATGGTGAATTTTATATAGTGTTTTTTCGAGACTTAGCATGAGCAAAACAAGTTCACTGATTTGGACGAGAAAAAATAAAAAAACACAAAGAAAGACATCAAATTCTGAGTAAAAATGTTTCATCTTTTAGTCAGTTGCTTAGTTTAATTTGTAACATACATAAATATAGGTAAAAAAAAAAAAAATAAAAAGCAAATATGTTTAAGATAGCGAGTATCAAAAAAATACTGTCCATTGCTTGAACCCCATCCGAGTCGGGAGGCTCGGGTGTAGTACGTACTGGTCCTGTAATTTAAATTAACGAACCGTGCATTTAGTCATCTTTCACTTATTATCAACTAAAAGAACTGTTTTTACAATTTTTTTTTTGTAACTTTTCACTTTGCTCATTTCTTTGTAAACAAAATGTTTCTCAATTGAACTGTTCTGTGTCATCTTCAGATGAATATTCGCCAATAAAAAAGAAACGTGAATTAGGGCCGCAAAAACCATGACATTTTCATTTTATGGACAAAATTTCCGTGAGCGTTTGCTGGCAGGAAGAGGAAGCGAGGCAGGCTGACGAAATCTCAAATGTTGACTAAATTTGCATAAATAAATCTTATATATAAATAATTTACATTTGTTTTTAGTAAATTTAAATTTAATTGAATTTGAATTCATAATAAAATTTGCATCATTTCAAATTTTTGATAATCGATTTTTAAATTAAATAAAAATGCTTTTTAACTTTTAATTCACGTTCCGGTTTGAAAAAAAAACTTTCATTTAAGTTAAAAATGCACTAAATCAATATTATTACCGACTAAAACTATTTTTGCACCTTTTGTAACGTTTTACCAATTGATGATTTAATTTTTTTTTATTTTGTTTAATAAAATCATTTCACTTTGTTCACTTCATTGTTGACAAACTACAAAGTAGACAAGTAACAGTAAAGCAATACGTGCTGAATAATTCGTTGCGTTTTTTTTTTTAATTAAACAAATTTATTATTTGTAAAATTCAACAATTACAAAAATAAATATATTTCTGTAACATCTTTTTTGGCGACTGAATGTTAAAAAAATTTATGAATACAATAAGAAGTCATAGCAAAACAAAATGAAAATGTTAATTGAATTCTGCTGACTTATCAAACTTGAACTCTTTTCAAGATATACAT